ATATTTTTTTCTACATTTATCCCAAGGTTTAATCATATACTAACTGGATCGTCTTGCCCCTTCCATTTCTATGTTGAAATTCTACTTAAGTCTTCTATATTTGGGCAGCTTGTGGACATGAGGTTTTGAAACTTCTTAGCACAACAGATGCTCTGTTCAATGTCATTAATAGCTGTCGATTTGATTTTTCAATGAAGAACAACTGAATTTGGGCTCCCTGGAGCAGAAACAAGTACAAGCAGGGAGAAGGAGGTGGGTCCTTGGAGGAGCAAGAGGGAGAGATGAGGGAGGGTCACTCTAATTATGGCAATGACTGCATTGTTTATTTAATTGATTTGAGCATTGCTCAGTCCTTATCAGGGTAGCAGGATCCTTCTTTAAGGATTTAAACTAAACCATTCCTTTGAAAAGTGTCCTCCAAATCATTTATTTTCTCCACTACATTGGGCAATTTACTTAGTGGTTAAGGAGTCTGGGCTGGTCCTCTGGTGGTCACTGATCTTTTCGGACCAATAGGCAGTGCCCCTGATTCTGGAAACCTGTGTGCAAATGATCCTAAGAGACACAAGGCCATTACAATCTCATTTCCCCCACCGCCCAGCTGTGGTTTTAGCTCTTTTTGGTTTAGGGCCAAAAGAATTGGGAGCGGGAATTTTGCACCACCTGCTTTTCTCCCAGGTAGTGGAGGGCCCCCGAATGTCCCCTCCGCTGGAGTCTGAGTAGTTCTTGGGTGGTGTCAGCTTCGGACCCTTCCTGGAAGTGGTGGTTGGGGGGGGGGGCGGGGGGGGAGGCTGTTGTTTGTACTTGCTGTGCTGCATCTGTGTTTGTGCACCAAGTTAACTAGTGTCCACTGGAGCCACTTTCACTGACAGCCCACAAACCCTGGGAATTGGCAGTCGCTTCCCCTCTTTGCTTTGGCTCTCAGCACAAGGATAACGCTCTTAGTCAGGCAAGGTAACTCATCTCTCAAACTTCTTTTAAAACCTAGCTGCCTTGTTGTATATATATTTGCAGAAATGAGAGCTGCTCCCCAAACTTTACAAAATAACTTCCAAGCAGAAGGTATAGCCTGTAATGGGGTTCTGCAAATTCAGTTCACGAAATGCATCCAAACTCTTTCTACTCTTCAGAAAGTAGTAGGTGTGGGCAATACAGATGTGGGTAAGATGTTCTTTCCTGCCCTCACCCCAGGGTCTCTCAGCCTCAGGGCAGACATGGCCAGCAGAGCATAAGTCATGCTCAATGATGGGAGATAATAATTTGTGTTTTAAAGGAGTTTCAAGGAAAAGGCATTATGAGAGTGATATCAGGAGTGGTGAATCCTGTGTGGAGATTGTAGAACTGCTAAGACCCCAGCAAGGGGTGGCATTTGAGCGGAGCCTTTGAGAAAAGATTGGGCTTAGAGGAACCAGAATTGTCCAACAGGGAGACGCAGGAGCACAGATGGGGGCAGGTTGGCCTAATCTGGTAACAAAGAGCCAGCTCCATCCTTTCCACTCAAAGTATGGTCACACCCCAGACCTACTGAATTACTAGTAGAATCTGAATTTTAACAAGATATCCAAAATATTGCAAGTATGTTCAAGTTTGAGAAACCCTAACTATATTATATGAATGCTGTCCTTGAAATTCAGTTAAGAGTAACACCTTCCCTCATGGCTCAGTCCTAGCTGTAGGTTAAAGTCACCTACGGGGGCTTGCAGAAGGCTGATGTCTGGGCCTCATCCCAGACCAATAATATGCAGAGGGAAGCAGAGCCCGAGTGTCAGGGTTTTAAGGAAGCTCCCCAGATGGCCGTGGCAGGCAGCCAAGGTTGAGACCCATTTCTTCATGGTGGCTTTGGAAAATAACCAAGGAAAGTAACAGAGAAGAAAAAAATCATCTGGGCAAATTCTGTGCACTTTAACTTAGTAGCGATCTTGGGCACATACGAGATTCTCTCTTCATAGTGAGCTTCTGACAGCCTCTGGGCCCAGGTGTGCTCACCTGTCATCTCCAATTCCTCCCGACATAGGGTCGGATGGGCTCATCCAGCTGCAGGCGGCCACAGAGGTCCTTCTCTGGCTTCCTGTGCCCATCCCTTATTGATGCCACCAACCCTGCCTGCTGGCCGGGGGAATACCCTGAGGCCACAGTTGTGCCACAGAATGTGATGATGTTAAATCAGGGCTGCCCCACTCCATAGCCCAGCTTCCTCCTGTGTACCCACTTACAAGCCATGCTTTCTTCTGGGCTCCCCTTCTTTGATGGGTGCCCCTGGCCACTATTATAAAGGACCCCTCTTTTCCTTGGCCCCCTCTTCCTCTTCTTCCTGCTGACCACCCTGGATCCATTGGCCATACTGTCCAGTTGCTAAAAAGTGAGGAGTCTATTCTGAGGGTCTGAAGTGGCCCAGCCCTGACTGAACTGGGTCATCTGCAGGTGGGAGGGGCTGCAAATACCCCCTGTCCCCCAAGATTGGCTGTGAAGGATCAGCTGCCACTAGGAAGTCCCACCTCTGCTTAAAATGACATTGTTAGTTTCCTTCCGTTTTCCCTTCAAAATCTTTCTCATTGCTGAGCTGATGAAACCAGGCACATAACCAAGTGTTGCAGCTGAGATCTACATGGGAAAAAGCCTGCCTGCTCTTTCCTGACCCAGTGAGCGTGGGTCACAGCCACACTCAGCATCACTCGGGTCTGTTAAGGGACCTCCACCACGGAAAGTCTAGTGCTTTTCTCTTCACACGTCTCTGATCTACAGCCTCTCCTTCCCGGGTGGCTTCAAAGGCTGAGGCTCCTGGTGACAAATACCCAGGCGGTTTCCATTGTGGTTGGAGCTGTTACTGCCTAATGGACATGCCCACATCCTGTTGAGGTGTGTTTCCCTTCAAGTCACACGGGACCCTCTCAGCGGAGGCAATCCGTCGAACACTGGAAGGCTCTCAGATGTCATTTTATTTTTTAAAGCAAGTTCCAGCTAGAGAGTAAGTCCAGGTAGTGGAAAGCTCTGGGCACACAACTCGGGCTAGCAAAAGCCTTCCTTCCCGTCTTCGGAAATGTCACCCACCTGACTATTACTCCGTCTTCCCTAATGGGAGCAAAGCCACATGATCATGTCTGGTGAGAGAACTCTTCTCCCAGATCCACAGAGATCTCACCCACTCGACATCTCGGGGGGACGCCCTTGATCTCTTCCATGGGAAGCCTGGTCACTGGCTTGTCTTATCAGCACATGGGCAGCCCCTTCCAGAGAGCACAGTGGCCACTTATTGGAATCATCTCGTTGGGTGGAGAGAGAAAGGATGCTCTGAGTTCAATAGGGTTAGGGTTAGGGTTGGGGCCCTGTGTTCCCCCCACCCCCCGCAATAACAGATATGTTCTTTGAAGATAGCTGATTTGTGGCAGAGAGAGAGGACAGAGAAGGAGAGAGGGAGAAAGAAGAAAAGAGAGGGAGAAAGAGGTAGGGAGGTAGAGAGGTTGAGAGAGAATGAGAGGGAGAGGAAAAGAAGAAGGGAGAATAATAACTAGAGACTGGAAGCCTTGAGAGGGCTAGTAAATTGGGGAACTAGGGCTATTGGCAATACACTGCTTCACAGCAAGGACCATGTCTGCTACTCTGAGCAGAGGGCATTGTGGCAATGAACTGATGTCTTGGCCCAAAGTAAGCAAACACTGAAAGAACCCTTCGAGTACCAATGTGACTGTGCCTGGTCCCCCAGCGCACACCCGCCAAGGAGTGCACCTGAGCTCTGTGCCTTGTCATGAAGCAGGTGGCTGAGGTACAGCCTCTGGACTCGGCCAACCTGGGCCCCTTTCTCGTCCACGTGTGACCGGCTCTGCAGCAGGTCTGAGCCTCAGTCTCCCCACCGGTAGTCCGGCACATGAGAGAACCTGGGCGCATGGCTGCTGTCAAGGCTGAATGAGATCATCCACCTAACAGGATTGTTGTGGTACTTAGCACTTTATAAACACTCAAAAAAGCCTATGCAAAAAAAAATTGCTGTTCTTATCTGGCTCCAAATTTAACTTGACCTTTAACTGAATCCTATTAAATTTATTCATTCCTTCATCCTGGCTTTTAAAAAAATCAGTATTAGGATAATATTTAATGGGAAAACCCATACATGTTTAATGTAAAAAAAAATAAAAGGTCAGATATATAAGAATATGAAGAACATGTGAAAACCTCTCAACATGCCCTGGTCTGGCTTCAGATCCTGCCTCTGCCCGTTATTGGCTCTTTGGCCTTGATTAGCAAGTTGATTGGCCTCTCAGAGCCTCAGTCACCCCAGTGCCAAGTGGAGACAGTAGTCACTGGAGGGTGAAATGAGCTGCGCAGTTCAGGTGGAACAGGTGTACGCACAGCGAGTGCTGCGGCCAGCAGGTGTCACACGGCCTCACACTGCCATCGTGACCTTTGTGCAGGGTGCAAAGGAGAGCCCGGGCTGGACGGCAGGAGGGGCGAGGATGGCTTCCCAGGGCCTCCTGGGCCTCCGGGACACAGAGGTGACACGGGAGAAGCCGGCTGCCCTGGAGCACCAGGTAAAGAGTTTCAGTTTCTTGTCTTTCCTCTGACAAGCAGATCTGAGAACTGGGTATGGGATCCCCAGCTTTCCAAGATGATCTGTGAAAAGCATTGGCCTTAGACACCAACTCACCAGGTGTCAGGGAGATGGAAACAGCAAGAACAAACCAGGCGGTATCCCCACGTTCTGACTCTCACCCACCCTACAAAGGAGTCAAGGCCCTGTCTCCAGTCCAGTCTTTTCCCAAAGCACTGCACCTTATCACAAGAGGCTCAGCCATCTCAGAGGCCCCATGTGCCAAGGCAAGCCTGGCATCTGCCGTGTGACCACCTTTGAGAGGCTGTGCTGAGGATCCTGGGATGATGGAGGGTTCTCACCCTCGATTCACCTGACCTCTGGTTTTCTGAGTTCACTTCATCTAAGTGTACAGCCATCGGTAAATGTATATAGCATGCACGGCTCCTTCCTAAGGAAAACGTTTGGGAGTGGGCATTGTGTGAGGGGAGAGAGAAGACTCTTCAGGACAGAAATGTGAAATATAAGGCACCAGGATAAATGTTAGGCTCCAGGGACCTAAAGACCGCAGGGGTGAGGAGGGCTGGGCGGGCTCTGCAACCAGGAGCCCTGCCTGAAGCTGCAGCTCAGCCTGGGCCTGTGGTTGCCATGTGAACATGCAGCCCCCTGTCCCCTACACTCTGCTTTTCAAGCCCAAGACCTCACCTTGGAAACCCTGATGGGTCAAACAAAACTCGGGAGCAGGCCTGATCCAGTCCGAAAACTCTGGTGTGCAGTGCAAATGGCTCGGAGAGACTGGGGGTCTTCCAGAAACAAGTTAAAACAAAAGCCTTTGGGTTGTAAAGTCAAACTTCCTCTTTTGCTCTTGGCAATTAGAAATCACCATAGGCTTCTTCAGTCAGTCAGTCCCTGAGGAATGCCAGAGGGGATAGGCCCTGCTCGCATGCTGCAGGCCTCATTATTTCCCACCTGCCACTGAGAATTTTGGAACTAGGCCTTCCTCCCACGTCCCCCCTTATAAAAGATCAGAAGTCCAACATGTGGCTCCAAAGCCTTTGTCCTTCTTAGAATGGGCCTGACACTATGCCAGAACCATGAGACAGGTTCTGGAAGTTGGGAAAGACCAACTTTCCCCTGCCCAAATATAAGCAAAAGTATATTTAGAAAGTCACAGAATGAGAGCAGTGGGGAAGTGAGCCAGCTGGGCTGCATGGGTGCAGGAAACAAGTTAAAGAGGCAAAAGAAGGGCCCTTGGAGCTTAAGAGAAAGCAAAGAGGCACACATGCCTAAAGGGAGAAGGTGCAGGCCCCTCTAGAGAGAGAGTGAGAGAGCAGGCCCGGGAGAACAACTTTGAGAACCACCTTTTTGGCCGGGCAGGTGCCCGGTCCAGGCTGGAACAGCTGGAAGATCACACATAGGAGTGCCATTACCCTGTTCTAGTTCTTTCTCAGTGCCCATCACTTTCTAACATATTTCACACTTTACTTCTTTATATTGTGTATTGTTTGTCATTTCTCCAGGTACAGTGTAAGCGCTAGGAGGGCAGGGGGTTTTGTCTGTTTTGTTTTTATGCTAACACAGCCCAATGCCTGGAGGTTGGTTGGAGTACACGCTTGCTGAGTGAGCGGTGTGTACAGATGGCAGGGGTGTGAGGGAGCACTCCTGCAGTGGGCCCTGCTGTGCTCCTCTCTCTGGCCTGAGTGCTTAGCGATGCACCGAACAGAGGTGCTCAGAAATGTTTGTGAAACTGACCCCCCTAAATGGCCTTCATTTTTTTCCTTTATTCCTCCAGGCCCTCCTGGGCCCATTGGGGATCCTGGGCCCAAAGGGGTCGGCCTTGGATACCTCAGTGGCTTCCTCCTGGTTCTCCACAGTCAGACGGATGGAGAGCCCACCTGCCCCATGGGCATGCCCAGGCTTTGGACGGGCTATAGTCTGCTCTACGTGGAAGGACAGGAGAGAGCACACAATCAGGACCTCGGTACGTACAGAGCACTGGATGCCCAAGTGCATTGCCTAAAAGTAAAACTGTTGGGTTAATTTTATGAATTCAAAAACATCAAGTGATTACTCATCTTCTTTGGGATTTTTTTCTCTATTTATACTACCATGTTAATTCTCAGTGAAGGCTATTAAATCTGTGATCCTGTGACGTGCCAAAGGGATCATTCCAGCTATCGTTATTATTATTATCTGGCTGGTTATTAGTTTTTAAAAACTTATGGTTAGTAAGTGAGTTGTAACTCTGATATAAAAGGGGATTTTTCACTTCCCCGTGTAAATTATTTGAATGTAAATGGTGTATTGGCAGCATCCCGATGCTTACATGGTGTGGCGTTCACCAACACCAACTCCCCGCCCACTCCCACTGAGTTTGAGGCATCCTTGGTACTTCTTGTCAGTTTCAATAGCAGATTTGTGAGACTGACTTCAAGCCAAGAGTGTAGGCACCCGGGTGCTGGCAAACACTGTCATTCCCAGATAATGAAGGTTGGGGGCGGGGGGCACAGGAGGGAGATGCCTGCAGGGATGGGTGACGGGGGGGTGGGGTGAGTTTTATCACTGCTTTCACTGGGCCTGACCCCTCACTGGGCTATTATGGTCAAAGGGTGCAGGCCTGGATGTGGCAGCTATGACATGTCCCTCTCCACCTCTCCCTGGGGTTCAGCCATGGCCTTTCCCATCAGCGGGGCCAGGGGAGAGGAAGTACGTTCATATCTGACTGTGTTTGCTTCTCTTCTCTCCTTTTTGCCGCCAGTCTTTCTTGCCTGGCCTCGCCAGCAATCTCACTTCTCTGTCCTGGTGGAGCCAGAGCGCACATCACAAAGCTCTGCAGAGCTATTGGGGGAAAATCCAAGCCCCTTAACCAGACAGACACAGCCCGCATGCTGTCTGGTTGACCTCTGGTTGAGAGACACACACAGACCTCCTCTCCCACCTCTGAACGTCTGAGATCCCCGAGCTCCATGCTCCCTCAGTACCTTGACCCTGTTTACTCTGCATCTTCTTTGAATAGTCTTCACCATCTCCAAACCTTCGTCTTTCAGGTCCTAGCTTCAATCTGGTTAGCCTTCCGTAAGTCCTGGCCACAGTTCTTATCCATAGAGCTGGTCACGCTGCATTTTCATGGCCTGTGTGCTCCTCCAGCCTCCCACCAGGCCAGGCCAGGAGCCTGGGGAAGAGAGGGGTGCTTGTGGCTCTTCCTCCCGCACCTGGCTGCGCGCTCGGCTCAGGAGTGATGCGTGGCTGTGGGAATGAGGGCTGGCCCATGGGACCAGGGAGGTGGCAGAAATGGTCAGGCCCATAGCCACTTTGGCCAGCACAGAAGTAGACTTTGTCCAGGGCCTCCATGTGCCCAGACCACATGTCTATACATGGCACATGCAGGAGGGTCGCTGGGCACGCCGGGACAGGTGGCTCAGATGCCAAGCTGTCTCTTCTCTTTCCCAAGGTCTGGCGGGGTCTTGCCTCCCGGTGTTTAGCACACTGCCCTTTGCCTATTGCAACATCCACCAAGTGTGCCACTACGCCCGGAGAAACGACAGGTCCTACTGGCTGGCCAGCGCCGCGCCCCTGCCCATGACACCGCTGTCGGAGGAGGACATCCGCCCCTACATCAGCCGCTGTGCCGTGTGCGAGGCCCCGGCTCAGGCGGTGGCGCTGCACAGCCAGGACCAGTCCGTGCCCCCGTGCCCGCGGGCCTGGCGGAGCCTCTGGATCGGGTACTCCTTCCTCATGGTGAGTCCCCGCATACCGCGGTCTCATCACAGCCTCTGCTGTCCCCTCTGCACAGTAATTCTGTGAACTCCGGGCACATGGGCAGCAGCAGGACATGCGGTCATTTTTCCTCACTGTCAATTAGGTTGTTTTTTTAATTCTACTTGGGTAGCGTTTAGAAGCTGGAGATGATTCAGGCATCGGAGAGAGTGGTTGAATTTTGTGTGCACCCAACTCATCTCCACTGCCCTTCCCCTCAGCAGAGCTAGTCTGGTCTTCGTGGAACCATTTCAGGAAAAATGAGAAAGTCAGGCCCAGATCTCGGCATGTCCCCGACTGGGTCTGGGGTTGTCTGCGTGTGTCTGAGCCCTAATTCTCTTGTTGTCCTGGCAGCACACAGGCGCTGGGGACCAAGGAGGAGGGCAGGCCCTCATGTCACCCGGCAGCTGCCTGGAAGATTTCCGAGCAGCTCCCTTCCTCGAATGCCAAGGCCGGCAGGGAACTTGCCACTTCTTTGCAAACAAGTACAGCTTCTGGCTGACGGCGGTCAAACCACACTTGCAATTTTCCGCAGCACCTTCGCCAGAAACCTTAAAGGAAAGCCAGGCCCAGCGCCAGAAAATCAGCAGGTGTCAGGTCTGCATGAAGGTTAGCTAGAGAACCCAGGACTCGCCCGCGTGCCACTGAGAGACACTCCCCAGGGGCTCAGTGGTCCCGGGCTGTGCTGAGATTTAATGGTGCTTATTTCCGACTCCTGTGATAGCGGTTCGTTCTGTTTGATTGTGTTTATTCCCACAGTACTGTATTTCTCTGTTCTGGACAGATTAAGCAAATGCTATGTGTATGGATATGGTTGGACCCACCAATCTAGATGAAACCCAGATCTCCTTATTTTATTGAGGAGGATAGAAGAGCTAGCTTTATCATTTTAAAAAAAAATGCAGAGAAAGGCAAATAGATGATAAAGGCCAGATTACAAGCTACATTACTGAAAACTCCATTCATTGCTTAATAGCACCTCAAACAATTACTCTGGAATACAGGGGGGCTTTGGGATGGATTTTACAAGGAAAAAATACATAGGCCAACAAATGAAACTGGAAAGTAGAGATTTCCAACATTTCAAAATGATTTCCTCTGTAATCTATTTTTCCATGTACTTTAAATAATGGTAAAACCATGACCCAACGAGACTTAAACACAAAAAATCCACACAGCCAGCGTGAACAGCTCATTTCAAAGCACACTGAATTGCTGTGCCAGAAAGGACCACGCAGCCGTATTCCGGAGATGTGACATTAGCATAAACACACTGCAGATGAACGTAAAACATTATGTTCTCTGCTGCATCTGTCAGAGAATGGAGATGCCTACTCTGGCAACCCGTTTGAAAAGCAGCAATTATGGAAAAAATATATTCAATGAGGGATTAAGAGCCTAAAAGCTGTTAATGAATATTAAGACAGTGATTCACAAAAATTGACTTCCCATGGCAGCGAACTTCCAAACAGGCAGCTTTTCCCCAGTCGGGGTCCAGCTTGTCTTCGGTGCGTGCGTGCTAATGGGACGGGAGCCACCTGGGACTTCCTCAGGCAGCACGCGGCTCATACAAAGCATCAGGCTCAGGTCCCCAGCGGCCCCTGCAGAGCTGGCTCGCAGCCCACAGTGGACATTCCGCTCCCTACACATAATAGCATCTCACACGAGGAAGTGACAGAGCTATCATTACGCACTTCCAAGAAAATGAAGGGCCGACTTCATTAAACTTAGGTAAGAAGATTCATTTAAGTCACGGTCACCCCACCAGGAAGAAGAAAGAACAGTCTTATCTTGAAATGCAACAAAGACAGCCTACAATTTGAATTTTATGTTCTTGTTATTCATTTTCATAGGAGCATCCTGGTTTCCCAATTTTAAAAACATTCTTATATGTTCTATCAGTATTATACCAAGGCAGCAGTTTGACATTTGGTATTAACATTTTCTACAAAAGTTTAAGAGTTATGTCCATTTATAAGGAGTAGTTTTCTGAATAGCAAAGGCTATGTTTTCTGTTTTGGCAGGATTTCAGTCGTCTAGTCACAAATATCAAAAGGCTTGTTGAAAAATATTTTTAGGGAACTTGCCTTTCTCATTTAAAAAAAAGTCACTGTAGAGAAAATGAAAGACATTTCTCATGAGAGAGTGACACTCATTTTAGTGCTATTTCAATGCACTTAAAAATAATTGAGAGAAGGAAAACTCAATTAAAAGTTTGTTTATAAGAAATAGTTTCCTGGCCAAACATTGATTAGGAATGTGCTCTTATACGCAGAACACATTTCAAATGAGTCTTGTTATGAGGTGTCCCTGGATGATAATTTATTTTAAGAATATTTTCTGGTAAAAATAGAAAATATGTGCATTTTAAGATGAAACACTTTCTTGAGTTCATTTGACCCATTCATTGATGTTCTTAAACTATGCTATGGCATAGTACATATTTTTAAGCACCTGAAATTTAAGCCAATTTCAACCTTATGTATACTTACAATTTTCTGTCTCCAAAAGCTTTATCATATATTACCAAAACTCAAGCGCTCTAAAAATTTGTGTTGTTCATTCATGAGCTTGGTCTGAGAACATTTTCTGAGAAGAGGTAAGGGTGAAAAAGGAAACATCAGAAACATATTTAAAACACTTTAACTTTGGTAGTATCAACTCTAATAAGCTTGCCAAGTAAACTTCGTAAAAAACAGTTTGCTCCACGGTGAGCCTGGGATATTTTGAACAATTTGAGATTGTTCAAAATACTGGTTTCATACATAAGAGCCCTTTCTAAATGTAACAAAATGCTGCCTTCTGATTTTAAAAGATATATATATTTATTGTTTTCAGAGAGGGAGGGAGAGGAAGGGAGAGATAGAAACATCAATGATGAGAGAGAATCATTGATCGGCTGCCTCCTGCATGCCCCCAACCGGGGATCGAGCCCACAACCCAGGCATGTGCCCTTGACCGGAATCGAACCTGAAATCCTTCAGTCCATAGGCCGACACTCTATCCACTGAGCCAAACTGGCTAGGGCTGCTTTCTGATTTTTTGGGGGTAAAAAGCATTTTAAATGATCTAGATGGAAAAATAACTTCTTGGAAGAGAAGACTGAGTTGTTTTAAGCCATTACTTTCTCCTCCTGGTCATATATCAATGTACTTTGAAATGTCCTTTGTCTATGAAAGATGGACAAAGGTCTCAGGCTATTCTAATCCATCACAGATGGTTATCAGTACCAAAACCTCCTTCCCAAGAACCCCTCTCCTGCTTTGCTGGTTGCCCAATGGGAATTGCTCTGGGTCACTAGCTGGGGACTGCAGGTTTCCTTTATGGTTTATGTCCAGGCTGCTAGTGGTGGCCCATTCCTGCTGCTCTCATATTCCAAAGGCCTGAGCTTCATCACCACCCCTTGTGGGTGCACCCTTCCTCTCCAGCCTCATTGTACCTGCCTAATAGCCTTGTCTTTCACCTACACTCTTGCGGTAGACACCCCCAACTGATGCCTCTGTGTGCCCATCCCAGTTGTCGTTTATCTAAGATGCAAATGTGATTGTTATCCTTTGGCTTAAAACTCCTTCCAAGACTGTCCTGCCTATGGAGTGCAGTGACTTCCCACGGGGTGCAGGGGCCTGCAGGGGCCTGCAGGGGCTGTCTGGGTTGCCTCTGTGCTCACCAGAGAGATGGGTTCTGATCGCTGTGACTTTCTTTGCTCCTGCTCTTTCCACCAGCCCCAGAAGTTGGCCTGCCAGACAACTCCTTACCTATAAAGACTGAATGAGTTGAGAGTATGTGAATTTCCCCAGAGAGACTAGGACCTGTCCACTCTCCCCTGTTCCCACATGGCTCCTGTATGGTCTCATCACACTTCCTGCCTTCTCTTGCTAACATGGAGGGCAGGACCAGGCTCTACTCATCTTTGCACGCCCAGTGTCTCCACAGAGCTGACGCATTATTGACATAATTCTTTTTTCAATGACAACTCAACAAGCGTCATCAGGCATTAGATGTTTCACTCTGCATATGGGGTTCCTTTTTTTTAATGGGCAATGAAATCTATTTTTAAATGTTTTTTAATTGAATTCATTGGGGTGACATTGATTAATAAAATTATATAGGTTTCAGATGTACAAGTCTATCAATTGGCTTCCGGTGAATAATTGTAAGAAGAGATTGTGGGTGTGCACATATGTTGTGGGAGTAATTTTAACCATCACTCCCTCCTGAAGAATAGCTGCTTTCCCAAAAATTGAAATTTCAGAAGATTTGAGAGATTTGGCTGAGAGAAGACTCTTCATTGAAATGTCACGTGACTTGACTTGGGCTGAAATCTCTGTTACCTGGTGATGTGCGATCTTCCTGGCACAAGGTCGCCTCTAACAAACTTACACATGTTCTCGGTGCTTAGAAAATAGTCAATGGAATGGTGCACAAAACTGGATTTTATCAAAGATTTTATTTTGAGCCTCTGATTATAATAAAGCAAATCATTCTGCTATGTTCCAGGAAAGTACATTAGATTTGTGTTTTTATTAGCTCAGCAG